AACAAGTATCATAAGAGGCTAAATTCCAGGCTCTCAGTTAATTAATAATTATTATTAAGTGTTTCTACCTCTTCTATTTTACAATGTTGTATTGTGGTCCTTGATTTTACCAGTAGGAAATGAAATAATTAGTGCAACAATTGGCTTTTCTTGAGTACAACAGTTTCCAAAATCAAGAAAAACGTCTTAAATTTTACAAATTATAATATAAATCAGTATGAAATATTTCTATACTTCTTTGCACCTATTCACATTTTTTTCTATTTTTTTTATATATTTTGTTCTTGATATGTGAGAGGAGTTTCTTTTCAAGGCATGTGTTTGAGCTTACTTTTGCTGCACCAGTGTCATCACTTTCAAGTCCTTGTTCATGGGAGATCCTTCTCAGCTTGCTGTGAAGTGGATATTTGCTATTTTTTATTTCACTCTAATCTGGTTTCATCTTGAGGGTGAGAATGTTCTTCCTGTTTAGCAAGATCTTAATCAGACTTATATGAGGCTTACTTCTCACCTTCTTTTTCCGTGGATCTTGTAGAAATGCTGTGATTTCTTCCAATTTTAGCCTACAGCTTTGTAGGTGGGTTCCAATCTGTAGTACAGTTTCCAGTTATTTGAGGAAGCAATTGTTTTTAAATGTGTCAACACTTTCCCTGAAGTGGATCATCTTTGCTGACTCCTTCGGCAGGAAGTACCAAAAGTAACTGATTGTCTTAAACTGGTTTGCATTTGCTGGGATTCAAAGTTTTCTTTTAAAAGAATGTTGAACTTTCCTGCAGATATTAAATATAGCTACTTGTTTTTTGTTTTTTCATGTTCCTTTCCATTTAACTTTGCCTTCTGTTAACACTGGTGCTGTGCTATGCAGCTGTTTCCTGGAACATCTCTTTGACAAAAGATAGACTAATGGGAGTTCTCTTGAAGCACTATTTTCAAAACAATGTAATAAAAATATTCAACTTCTTGTTTTCTTTATCTGGCCTCATATGCAGTGTAATTACACAGACTGAGTACACGAACTGTGAAGGCCCTGTAGAATACAGTGTTTTTTCCGTAGGATTTCATCTAGTTTTCCACAATCTGTACATACGTAGACCTTATTATGATGTTGTCCCCAAATGCAAGCACCGTATAGTATACAGTATATTCTGGCAGTCTCTTTTCCACCTGCTTGATCACCCTCATGGGGAGAAAGTTTTTCTTACATCTACCCAGATTTTCCCATGTGCCAACATGTGCCTGTTTCTCATCCATTGCATGCTCCAGCTGCCTGACCCTCTTGGTGGCCCTGGACAGACTTGCTGCAGCCATAGAAAATCCTGTTCTTTGGACATTCCCAGCTGTGAGGGGGAATATTATATGGTGGATATTTATCCAAATGAGACCAAATGTATTAAATTAGGAATAGTAATAACAGAAAAATCTTTTATCTTCACACATTGAGAAGTCTGAACCCAGTCAGAGAAAACACCTAAGAATACGTTAGAGATTTATAAAGAAATCATCAAGAAGTAAACACTCACATTGTATTCAGTTTCAAGGGAACTCAGTGTTCTCAGCAGAAGATAGATCTAAATTACTAAAAACAGATATTATGGGGCATATATATGTATAAACATGGTGCAACTTTATGCCATATACCTGCTTCTGATCTTTTCAGGCCTGAAGTTTTGGGTTATCAAATCACTTCTACTGTCCTGGTGCAGAGCATTGAGATTTTAGCCAGGATAGTAACAAGCTGTGTGAAAAAATAATCTACTTATGCCCTAACTAAAACATATTCTGTGCTGACTCAGGCTGACTTTCTGAGCAAGACAGTCTCTTCAGCAAATGTCCGGTTTTACTATTTTATTTTAGCTAGACACACTTTACATCTGCCAAAACCTGTGCTGAGTTAGTAGGAAAAAGAATAATTCACAAACAGAAGTACTGTTTGCACATTCTCAAGCAAAATTCAAGGAATATTCTTTTGTTGATATCTTGGAGTAAAGGATGACATCTGCAAAAGGGATTTAAGGAAAGGAAACCAGCAGAAGCTTTGTGAGATGGTGAAAAAATATGGATTAAATGTGTCAGAGCTGTTGCTAAGTGGAACTGACAGAGCTGCTGAGATAGCTCAGAGATCTGATTAAGATAGTAGCGAGAAACCGTGTTCTCTGTCCACCTCTACAAGACTTAATCATAAATTATTTTATTAACTTTGTATGGATTCTTAAAATAGACCTCAGACTGCTGTGTAGGCGATCCTGAGGAACACACGTAGGTAACACCAAGTCTCATTACTTTTACAAATTTGAAAAGAAGAATATCCATAGGCATGTGGGCTGAAATTGAAAAGTTAAGAAACACTAAATTAAATATTGTATAGTTGTAATGAAAGAAAAAATACCTGAAAACCTTGTGTCTCCAGTAAATTTCAGATTGTTATAAAAGGTCATCATTAAAGTGAGAAAACATCTTACACTGACTTCTGGACAGATAATAGGCTCTCTTACTCAATCACCAGCATTTTCATTTATCCATTCTCTTCCTATAAATTCTTTAAAATCCCTGAAGTTTGGGAGCAGCTCCTTTATTATCTTGTATTCTCAACAAGAACAAACTGAAACCCCCTGTTAAAGTCACACACAGGCCTTTGTATACCTTCTACTTAACATAACTTCTTAGAAGTTGAACAAGTTTTCTAGCTTCTATCCCTTCCTATAACACATAACATAAAGTCTTTAAAAAATATGTGCCTTTAAGAATACTTACAGTCGAATATTCTAACACAGAAATCCTTCTTTCGTGTCATTGTCCAATAAATATCACACAAGAACGCAGTTTGTTCTAATAAAATATTGTTAAACAGTGTCACTTTTATCGGGGAGCTGGGCTGCTTTGGGATGCCCAGATGTGACGATGTGGCAGTAAATCCCAGTGCTGGGAGGAACAGCAGCAGAGCAGAGCGCATCAGAGCTGCTGAGACCCAACCCCGGTGCCTGGGTGTTCAGTCGTGACTGTGAACTGAGGCAGCTCTGACACTGCTGCGAGACCACTCACCCGGAGCAGAGCACTGGGGTCAGCGCTGGGAGCAATTACGCCAAAGCCCTGCAGTGGGGCTTGCCAGGGCTTGTATTTTAGTGCCCACAAACAGGTTATTTTTTTCACATAAGAAAGGATTCTTATCTGCAACCAAATTTTTCTTGTTCTGTCAGTCATGGACATTTACCTACTATCAAAATCTCGTGTTAATGGACATTTTATTGCAACAGCTCAGCCTCAATGTTCTACATAGCAACAAAGATGCTGTGGCTAGGTCTGTCCAGTATCTTTCCTCAACTTCTTCCTTTCTGCCTTTTATGGCCACCTCTTTCTCATAGGTTTTCTTTCAAAGTCTTTTCTTTGCCTCTCTGTTTCTAAATAGTATAATATCTTTCAATTATTTTACTGTTCTTCACTTGTCCTGTGATTTATATCACATGCATCCCATACATGACACTGCACAGCATTTCCTTGGATACCATGGATAGGACAGGAGCTTGACAATCCAGCACAAAGGCTGAGGATTCCGTAGTCCTATGCCCTCATTTTGCTTTTTCTTTTCAAAAGTCTACTTCACATTTCTCTCTTTGCATTATATGCAGCCAAAAAAAGAAAAGAAAACAGATTTTAGTGTTTGAAGAGTCAACATCCCGTGAGTATAGTTTAGAAGAAAAAGAAGAAAAAAACAGACAGAGGAAAAGGAAGGTAACATGGGAAGGTCTGAAGAAGAGATATAAGAAGATGTGTTGGAGAGGAGTACTCTCCTTTACTTGTGAATCCTGTTTTACTGGCTCTCTGCTACAGCTTTTTTAATTTCTGCACACTGCTTACAGTTGTATAGATCACCAGTAGCAAACTGAGCAGAATATAACATAAGAAAAAAACACAACAGTCCATTAAAAAAAAAAAAATCAATTTGCATGTGAAGACATTCCGTGTATATTATTTCAAAACACAAAGGGAACAGTTCTCACAGCCCTGCGTGTTAAAGAAAGAATGGGAATATAGACCAGCTATTAAATTTGCTGAAAACATGTTGCAATGTGCACTACAAAAAGAAAGGTGTTTTCTGAAAAAAAAATCCCACTCGTTTCACCGTCCGTGAGAAATTAAGAGCAGGATGGCAAGGGGTGTTTACACAGGCACTCAGCCAGGAAACAGTGTGTTTTCCACAGATACAGTCATTCAGAGAGCACATCTCTGGCTTTCATGAGCTCCCTCCCTCTGTTCTCATACCCCTGTAATTCTATCAAGAAATCTATCTGTAGGGGAGAAAATACATACAGTTCTGCACCCTGTATTCAAATGCTGCCTCTTTCCTTTAGGTAAGCGCTACGGCACCGAGGCCATTTGTAGGGATTTTACACAGGGAGAGAAACCAATGCAAACCCCTTAAGGAAACACATGAGCTGCAGCAGAGTTTCACAGTGAATCGTTACCAAAAATCTGCACTAAGGAGACTAGAAAAGAATTCTCTATAAATCTTCTGTGGAATGCAGTATTGCTTATTAGCAGGCTTGATGGCAAACCTTGTGGGATGGAAAGTCTCATCACTTTATTTGTATGTGCTTTCCTGCATCTTAAGTTGCAGCTCAGGATCCCTTAGGATCATGTGAGGCTGGGATATATATTAGAGCCGTGCTCCAGTGCTGGGAGTGTGTAAGCCTAGCAGCTGGGTAGTGTTATGGTTGCTGCTTTCCTGTGCTAAGCTGATTTACTTGTTTAAGGTCTGACCTCATCATCCTGTCAGTATGGATTCCCACCTATACAGTTAGCAGCAGCTTAGCATCGGCTGGAAGAGCCTGCAGTATATTAATCAGAAGAGAGAGGGAGAGAGCTACCGGTATTTGTTCTTTTGTTGTCTTTTCTTAAGAAGAGGAGTTGAAACACAAGAGATAACAAAGAATCCATTTCCTTTCTAAAAGAAGAGGCTTTTGTCTTTTTTTTTTTTTTTTTTTTTTTTTTTCCCCTGGAAAAAAATGTCAGTATCTGGAAAGAAAGAGTTTGATGTGAAGCAGATCCTGAGGCTCCGCTGGAGGTGGTTCAGTCACCCCTCGCAAGGCTCCGCAGGCACGGGGGGCTGCCATCCGCAGGAAGGATATGAGCACAGGGGGACACCGGTTCAGACAAGGTTGAAGAACCACTCTCGGGAAAGAAATGGGCTGAAGAAAAACAGCAGTCCTGTCCACCACAATATACTGGCACCTGTGCCAGGTCCAACCCCAGCTCACCACCGATCTATTCAAACCTGGCACCGACAAAATCTGATAGAACACCTTCGATCAAATGAGGATATTCCCAAAAAAAGCACAGAGGAAAACTGTGTTGAAGAAGATTCAAGTAAAACCACCCAGGAGTCGCAGATGATCACAGAAGAAAATTCCCAGGAATCTGCAGAGAGGTAGGAGTTTTAAAGTCTGCACTTAGAAAGCCATACTTCTATCCAGGTTATTCTCTAAACCTGTCTTTGTTTTTAACCGGAGTTCTTACTGCGTTAGTCCCACTTTATGTATGTGCACACCCACACGCAAATGAATAGGAACACATTCACGTTCAAAAGATGAACAGGAACATTGTCATGAAATTTTCATCTTTGCTTAAGATACATCATTTCATAACTATTCCATAAAAATAAAACCTGCCAGTTTGGCAAATTTCCTCTGTTACAGTGTGCAGCATATTTTTTCTTTGTCTTGATTTATTGTGTTTAAGTGCAATGAAAAAATGAGCCTTCTGAAACATTGTCCTCATTCTGACTTTATCAATGGGTGCAACTTTGACAAATGGGAACTGCTGGAGGTGCACAGGCTGTGTGGCTGCCATCGGTCTGTCAAATTTGTCACTGCTTTTTTTTTTTTTTTTTTATTCCCTTCTTGACAACTATATTAACCTTGAACTAAGTGGAAAGGAAGCATCACTACTTGTTTTTTTTAAAGGTTTATTTGAAATCATGTTACTTTCACAGCTTGTTTAGTATACTAAGGAACAAATACTTTCTGCAAGGTCAGGTGGAAAAACATTACAGCTGTGAGACCTTAAAGGTGTAAGCACAAAGGAAGAGCTATTTTTAAGATGTCAATACAGAGAAAGAAATATTAGTATCAGCTATTTGATTAAGCATGCCTTTCACTTTTTTATGATGTCTTTTCCAAATTGATGTCAGTATTATTAGTTTATACAGCAAGAATTTTACCCCACTTTTACCCTACCTTGGACTCAAATGATGCATTTATAATGTGATGATTTGCACCATATGATGAGATTGTTATCAGTCTTTGGGAATAATTTAGATTTCTTACATTCTATTTAAATACAAATCTGTTTTACCTGAAGTTAAAGTTTCTCTCAGTAAAACAAAGCTGACAGCTCGTGTATTTTTAGCAGTTATTATTTTTCAAGTTGTACATCTGGTAGAGGGAACATCTGCAGACTGAACAGGAAAAAAAATGCATTCCAAAATGTCATTTTGAGAACAGGGCTGGCAGTCAGTGTGTACTACACACAACCATTACAGAATAAAACCAGTGAGGCGGGAAAGTGGCAGTTCTGTATGTTTACTGGTGTACTAGTTTGTAATGGGTAAGAAGCATACTCTTACTATAACTTGTTTTGAATTACAGTACAGATTTATTGAAAAAAATACTAATTTTAGGCATATCTTAGAGAGAACCTCAATTTAAGAGAAGAAAAATAAGGAATACTGAATAATCAAAACAGAATTCTGTATCAGGTGAAGAAGGAGGTTAAAAAAGCATAATGAATTCAGTTTGGAAGGTAATCAGGCACTGTCTTCTAAAATAAGATGTGATGACATTTTCTCCAGCTATATATAAACTTTCTAAAAAGATCTCCTGAAGTTTTGTGCCTTCATATTCATTTGAGTTCAAGCTCTTCTCCTGAGCTGCTTAAATTTGCAGCTTTTAGAAAAGTTTTGGGAATGTGTATATCTTATAAAGTATTGTTATATTCAAATAAGTATATTTTCTTTAAAGTTATCTGTAAAAGCTTTTTGTGAATCTTGTAGGTTAAAATGTACCTTGAACATACACCTTAAAAGGGTGAATTGGTAAGAAATTGTTTAGAAAGTGATTCATGACTATGAGTTTCTCTATAATTAAAATTTTATTTCAAGGAAATAAAATAGACCATTAAAGACACCTAACATAGCTCAAATTTCTTAAATAGGTACCAACAGAAATCATTTAAGTAAATCATCATTCTCTTCCCCTGTAGCATCCAGCACAGGCCACACACGAATCAATATGCTAATCGCTTGGGTAGAAATGAAATAGTGAGAAGAAATAAAAAGCAGCAGCCTTAGATCTATACCTATCTCTACCTAGTTGCTGGATAGATTTTTGTCTCATCTTACACCTTTGAAATCATCCTTTTAAATCATTTTGGGCCTCCTTTTTCTCTTCTGAATAGTCCAAAATAGTTCCAAATAGTCACAATTGATTGTAATCAATGGGATCTGCTAGTCATTAACACACCTGAAAAATCAAGCCTATGCAGGTCCCCGACTCCATCTCGTTACACCATTAAAGCCACTGCGTGATGAACGACACCATTGTCGCAGCCGTATGCTCTGTCACATTCGTACCTGAGGACACCAAAGACAATCTCATACAAATTTGCCTTTTATCCCATAAAAGAAATTGTAGCTTCAGAGTGGCTGTCTCTAACCCAACGAGTTCACCTCTAGTCATTGTGATCTGGACTCTAAAGCTACATTTCACTTGGATGTTGAAAAGAGCAGAAAAAGATAGAAAATCAGGCCAACACCTCAATCTTGAGCAGACTATGAAACCAATTTCTACTAGCAGCTTAACATTTCCTACCAAAAAGATTTGGAAACAGATAAACAATATTCTCATTTTCTTCAGAAAAACTAGAGATGTCTCTCTAGAAACCTCAGGACCTGACGCTTCCAGTGACACAGACACAGCGCCCTGGGCTTTGGTGAAATAAGGCTTGTTTACTGAGCAGGACGGGTAAATAAGAAAGTTCCAAACAACAGTCCATTTTGCATATCCTATCATCAATACACTTGTTTCTGCTTTCTTCAATGGTTTTTGATACTCATGTACCCAAAATAAACAGTGCCTAAAGAACCACTTCTGACCTACAGGCTTGTTCCTGAATGCCATCCCATGGCAAGTGACAGACAAAGCAAGAGCTGAAGTGATCCAAATTCAGTTTTGTAGTGACAGTAGCCAGTTAAGATGTGACCAAGCAATAAACACTAGGTGCATAACAGATAAATAAACTGGATATTGGCACAAGGTCAAGGAAGGCCTCCCAGTGTGCCTGGGGACCTTCTTATCCAGTGTCACCAAGGGAACATACTCAACAGGTACCAAACAGTCTTCTAGAGAGCTAAAATGACAGGCCTTGATCTGCTGTAAGACCCTTATGGAAGTTATTTTGTTTACTTATACACTGTATTTCCCACTACAAAAATGTTATGGTATTACTGGGAGGGTCAGAAAGCTAAAGCCACAGAACATGGCCATGCAAATGAACAGCAAAGCCTTCTGAGGTTTGAGGCTTGGCTTAAAGCAACTGGGAGCTTAAGGGAGCTCTGAACCAATGCATGCTCAGTAAACTGTGAATTGCTTCTGGTTCAGAAGGCATGGCTATGGGGCTTTGTGCACTTGAGCTAGGTGATGATCATCTCTGATCTCTAACTGTCTGGAAACTTTTGAGGTTCAGGTTCCTCCGTCAGGGAGACCTTGAAGCGGGTGATCGGGCAGTGGTCCAGAGACATCAGCAAAAACTCAAAGGATTTGACTGCTAGATTTTGTTTAATGGTCAACAAAAACTTTGCTCTTGTGTGCAACACATGAAGACACACTTGTGCACACACGAACTGAAAAAGCACTGATACCTCCTGATAAGAAGAACCCATGATATCGAATTCCCTTGATCACTTTCCCGACAAAGTTTGGACTCGCAGGCACGACTGTATTGACCTTTCAATATGAGCACTGTGCCTAGTGTTTATTAATGTTATGCTACATTGCCACATCAATTTACACATTCTTGCTGGAAGATATACTCTGATTCTCTGAGTACACTATTGCAGACCACGTGTGCCGGGAAAGTGTGTGTGCACCTCTTCTCCTTATTGCCCAAAGGCAGTTGGGCTTCAATAATGAATGGAGCAGCCATTCATCATTTTTCTCTTATGCATTTTTTCTAACTATATGGCTGAAAAATTGCTGACAAAATCTAGTCTGGTTGACAAGCCCTAGTTTTGCTAAAGATACATGCTTTCTAATTTCCCATATGAGACAAAATATACTTCTAATTAATTTTAATAAAACCTTCTGATGTCATAATCCAAGCAATCGGTACTGATGTACATGGAAATAGATATTTGGGAGGAGTATCCTCTTAATTGAGGCAAGGCATTTTCTGTAGTGACTACTTATGATGTTCAGTTGTTTTGATAGTTCATTTTAAGACATGAAAACTCATCTTTTTTTTTTTTTCTTTTTTTTTTTTTTTTTTTTTTTTTTTTTTTTCCCCCCAGCCATATGGAAATAACTAACAGACCATTTCCCTTACTGTCTCTGACATATACACATACACACTCGATTATTTTGGATATTATCCCCTATATAAGGGTTTTTCCTGGAGTTCTATTTTTATTTCCAGTAACAGATAACAGCCTTAGCTCACATTGCAGTGTGAAATAAAGGTACCACAAGGAAAATATACCCCTCTAATTGTTGCAGTATCCCAGAAGATACTGAACAGGTGGAAATGAATAAATTGGTGTGCAGTGCCTGACCCCAATTTCTTGCACATATGGTGCCATTTTTTGGTTAGCTAACGCGGCACAGATCAAGGACATGTGCTGTCATGTTTCCTTCTGCTGAGCACTTTTTGGGGAGAGCCATTAAACTACACATTCATCTTGTCCTCTAAAGTTTGTAACAGATACTCACCGAAATGATGTCTGCTTAATTTTTCAATACAAATTATCATTTCCAGAAAAGAAAACAGGTGAAAACTTTCCTAGTGAAAATGGATTTACTGTTTTAATATTAGTAATAATATTAATAATAATAATTTAATAATTTAATATCAGTTCTGATCCTATACTCCAACATACTTGCAGCTCTTCCCAGCTTGGCGTGATCTTCAACCGTAGTAAGGCTCCTATCAAAGCTTTCTCTTTATTTCATCCTCCCTCCAAGAAATTTAGGAATTCTGGGAAGTCATAGTGGAGGTTTGGTAGAAATTTCCTTAAGACAGTTTGGTTTAGCTTTCTATTTACCAGTGAACCACTGATAATCACTTTAAAAGTAGGATTTCAAACCAGCTTTGTCCCCATTCCACAACCGTTTTACTCCAAACAGTACTTCAGGTTGAAGGTAGTACTATCTGCTG